TTTCTTTCTTTGTAGTTTTGGTCATATCAATATGCAAATTATCAATTTATTACATTTTGTAATAAGTTTTCTTTCTTTGTAGTTTTGGACATACAATGTATCAATATGCCATATCAATATTACATTTTGTACTAAGTTTTCTTTGCTATAAACCTTTCTTATGCTGAGTGTGAATATGTGTTAAAACATTTTCTTCTTTGTCTCATTCTTGGTCTCGCAGTAAAAGCATGCGCAAACGTTCTTTACTGTCTCTAAAGCAATAGTTGGGCGGCCTATGAGTTAATGAGCCTGGATCACTTTCACCTGTGGTTGAAAGAAAAGAATTGACCAAATGATAGAGCATTGGCGGCAACAAACGAGATGCTGTTAACGTACATTGAAATCATATTCATTCATGTATCCATAATTCATGGAAAAATCACTATCTTTTTGCCTGAATACTATTGTCTGCATGACCAAGCTCCAACCATTATACAATTGAAACATTGCAGCAGTTCAGATGGTTAAAAAATAGTCAACGAACATTACAAATATGAAAATAGTTTCACAAATACCTGTATAAATGCTTACAATCACCACTCCACAAAATGCATCAATGTGCCATTTACGTTCATGTGACAGAAGTAGTTCTGGGCATATCTGAAACGAAAACAATGAAAATAGGGTCAATTTAAATAGCAGAATTCTACCAACCATTAAGAATAAGAATCTTAAAGTACCCACTAAAATAAAACAGCCACTCAGGCTTTACAGGTCACAGAGACCCAGAAGTCACACAGACTATTAAGCCACTCAGGCTTTAAGGTCACACAGACCCTGAAGTCACACTGCCTATTAAGCCACACAGGCTTTCATATCATACAGACCTCTTTTAGATCAAACAGTAGAGAACCATAAGACCGCATAGTCCTCTTAACTAAACAAAGACTGATATAGTATTTCAGGACAGACAAAAAGAAATCATGACAAGAGTTGTAGTTCTCACAATTTTCATGTACCCTAAAAAGTCCCCTTGAGCTGTTTTGATTCTCCTATATTTTACTTACATAATCATAACGGTTGTAAGCAAAAGTTGTAACGTCTAAATCAGGAGATTTTTAGGGTAAATAAGTGTTAGCATTTAATACATACATGTATGAGCACTACCACTCCAATCAAATTTAGCATCACTAAATAATGTTGCTGCAAACTTCCCGTTATCACAGAATCATTTCAGACATTATTAACTAGAAAAGACGCTAGAATTTACAAACTGTGTTGCAGCTTTGATGGCATCTACCAGGACTGGGTTGAGGCGGGTTTTGGTCCAGCTGTTGCAATATTTTAAACCATATGCTTGAAATAGAAGTTCAATCTCCTTCTTTGTGTAAGTAGTTTCAAAGATGTCTGTTGACTTTGTAACCATAGCTAGCAGCTTATTATGTGAATCTTGTCTATTTATGCTCGTGTCATCTTTAATGCTTGCAATAGCCACCTGTAAACACATAAACAAAAACCATCAATACCAGAAATGTGAAAACATAAGCCATGAAGCAACTCAATGTAATATATTGATGATATGAGATGGCAACATGAATAATGATCTAACCTTTTCATTTCGTCTTTCCTTTACAATTTTCTTCTCTTGCACTCTTTTCCTGTG